TAGTTTTGCTGAAAACTGGAAGGAAGAGCTGGTTTTCGACAAAACAGGCTTAGGATGTGGCTGTGGGATGGTGCGATGTCGCAAATGGCCATAAAGGTGCTATGTTGCCCAGCACTCAGTTTAGTCCCTTGATAATGGAAGAGGGCTGACCATTGCCATGGTGGCGCAGTGGTTAGAGTGCAGTACTGCAGGCTACTTTTGCTGCCTGCCGGCTGCCTGCAATTTGGCAGTTGAAATCTCACCAGGTTCAAGGTTTACCCACCTCCTTCCGAGGTGGGTAAAATGAGGACCCAAATTGTTGGGTGCAATAGGCTGGCTCTGTAAACTACTTAGAGAGGACTGTAAAGCAGTGTATAAATCTAAGTGCTATTGCTATTGGAACTTTGAATCTGGGTGATAAATCCCCATTTTTAGATCAGTCGTAATTTCAAATGGTCGCTAAGTGACAGGTCATAGGTCAAGGACTAACTGTAAACATGTCAAACACAGTCGTTTTTTTTAAAAGGCAAACCCAAGAACTTTGATCAGCAATGGAGCCACCTCAAGATCTCACCGGCCTTCTGAGTTCACCAAGTTGGATGACACAGCCAGGTTGCCAAGGACTTCCAGAAAAAAAGGCAGAACAAAGCTAGCTAAACTCACTTCAGAAGGGAGAATGTTCCAGAAGGCAGGTCCCATGGCAGAGAAGGCTTGCCTTGTCAGACCCACCAAATGTAGATCTCTGAGAGACAGGACCCACAGCGTGCCTCTTACCAGATTCAATGAGATTTCAAGATGTAAACATCATTCTGAGCCGGGGTGGCGCAGTGGTTAGAGTGCAGTACTGCCGGCGACATCAGCTGACTGCTAGCTGCAGTTCGGCAGTTCAAATCTCACCGGTTCAAGGTTGACTCAGCCTTCCATCCTTCCGAGGTGGGTAAAATGAGGACCCAGAATGTTGGGGGCAATAGGCTAACTTTGTAAACCGCTTAGAGAGGGTTGTAAAAGCACTGTGAAACAGTATATAAGTCCAAGTGCTATTGCTATTTCTTCAATAGGTGGGGGACAGCCACATTGGCTTTCCCAGTTGATTTTCTACAAGTCCCAGACCTTTCTAAATCTCCCCAGTGGCACCTTCCAGCCCCACAACTCCAGCTACCAAGTCATGTTTGGACAGAAATGTCCATTCAGATCAGTGTTTTGTTTATACCATACAAGTAAGGAAAACCACCGTTTTTCTCTTGCTCATCCGGAAACATTTGTGCAGACTGGGACCACACCTGGTACTAAGCCATGGTTGGTTTAATGATGGTTTATTGAATTGGCTAGATGAGCAAAACAGGCCAAACCATCCGCTCCGCTTCACACAATGGTTGCCACCTACAGCATGTTAAGACCAAGGCAAAAGCAGGACATACTATGGCTCACCATGTGGCCTTACTGGGAATGCTGGACTATTGGGAGCTTGACCAGTAAGTCAGTAATCTTAGATCAGGTTCTCCAAAGCATCTGAAGGCCAACTCATTTGAAAGATAGCAGGCTAGAGAAAAGAAGATCAAGATGGATAATCCTGCATCTCGCTTGAAAGATTTTTCACGCCTTGCTGGCCTCTCTTGGCAGCCTCTCTTGGGCTCACCTGTGACCTCCCTGCATTTCTTTACAGTCTAGTCCAACAAGCTTCCTTACCCAGGCATTCCTACACACCTTTAGATTTCTCCTACACCTTCTGTCTACAGGTATCTATCTCGGGGTCATGAGATTCATCCTTCCTTCCTTGCTCCACCTTACGTCCCCTCCTCTTTGGAAGAACTAACCAACACCCACAAATAAGCCCAATGTAGACCCACATGAGCTGGCTTCCAGCCATGCTGTTGAAAACTCAGACACTGGACTCCCTCCTTGTCTTCTAAATTCATCAGCTGCTAAGCCCACATGCTGAAGGCCATTTCCTCCAGCTTGGAGACACTCTGGCCCCACTGAGGGAAAGTAAGGGAGTTATAGCAAGAACAGGAAGGAGCTGTTGTGGATTATGGGTCCTTTGCCACCAACTCCCTGGTCACAATATCAAGCACCTATATCAACCCTATTGTCTACAATTCTGCCAGTCAGTCCAAGAGGAGATCAACCCTGACTGCTCCTTAGAAGGCCAGATCCTGAAGAGGAAACTCAAATTCTTTGGCCACCTAATGAGAAGGAAGGACTCCTTGGAGAAGAGCCTCATGCTGGGAAAGATTGAGTGCAAAAGAAGAAGGGGACGGTAGAGAATGAGGCGGCTGGATGAAGTCACTGAAACAGTCAGCATGAGCTTAAATGGACTCCAGAGGATGGAAGAGGACAGGAAGGCCTGGAGGAATGTTGTCCATGGGGTCGCAATTGCTCGGACATGACTTTGCAACTAGCAACAACAACCATTCTAACTGATGAAAGTCCTATCATAATCCTGGTGGTGCCAGTCTACAAATAGGCCAGCTTGAACATGAGTGGACTTCAACTCAAGGTCAGACATCCAATGGATAACTAACCCAAAGGAACAAACCCACATGTCCTTGCCTTAACAGCCATCATTACCCCAATGAGAGGAATTATGTCATGCCATTTGCACAGTGACATCATGAACACAGATGACATCATCCTGGCTTCTCATAGCCGGCAACTCATCCCCTGCATAGACGGGATGAACAATTTTCGGAGAGGAAACGCTAGTCAAATGACTCGGTGTTTACAGAACGTTATGCACAGCTTGTTATTATGCACATAATAAATTGATCTGTGACCGAACTGAATGAGCCAGGCCTATGCAACGTACTGTACCAAGCCACACCAAAACTACCCAAGGGTGAAATTAAACTCTGCATGTTGCACACACTAAGTTCATAACTGACCTAATTAAGAGTGTTGTGCTCCTGCACTTCTTTTTTTCATTATTTGAAATCTCATCCCTCTTATTGTATCCCTTCTTATTCTTCAAGCAGCTATGAGTTTTTCACCCCAACTTATGCACTTGGAAAGGCAGTGTTATGGACGAGTCCCCGTTAAAACTCAGGAAAGGAGGGGCCAGTTACGATGGCCCCATCTTTGTGGGGGGAATGCAAAAGTTGGCTTCTTTGAAACAAACTGTGAAAGTAAAATTCTGAGACTCAGCCTATGTTGAAGGATCACTCAAGACAAAAAGTGCCCCACCCAGCATTCTCTAAATGGGTTTTTTCAAAGTTATTTCATGTCCAAAGTCCCTGATGATTATAGCTACTGGAGTTTGGAAAATTTCCTCATGTGGAGGGAAAAAAGCAGAAATCTTGAGCAACGTTCAAGATTTAGGGTATAGGGTAAAGTGATCGTATACCCCTTTCCACCTCAACACTCAAGTTATAAGGTAAAGTGACCCTATATCCCTCCCCCACCTCACTTATATCAAGTGTATTTAGGAAGAAGAAAAAATATTGTCTACAATTCTGACTGATGGAAGTCCTATCATCCTGGTGGTGCAAGACTACCAATAGGCCACCTTGAAGATGGGTGGACTTCAACTCCCAGAATTCCCCAGCCATCCTTGTATGCTGGCCCATACAATATTTTTGGAGAACTGGGTCAAGAATCAGAATTTTCAAAGGCAAAGCTCTTCATAAGGGACAGGCCCAGCGGGTCAGACGAATGGGGACGGGGGAGGAAATACATTTTTGGATGGTGGATTAAGAGAGCCTTCATCCAGTGGTGGTGGGCTGGGGCCTCAACTTTCTTTCCTCTTTGTGCAGCCGGGAAGCTGGACTGCAGGCCGGTCTCAACCCCCTCCCCTCCACCCTGCTCCTTCCCGGGAAGGCCAAGCCCACCGCTCCTGCAGACCCCATTCAAGACCAGCCTCAGCAGAACATGGGGGCAGCAACTGTCCCCCTTGAGGAGGGAGGGGCTCTCTCCCCACCCACCCAAGGTCAGAAAGAAAAACTAGGCAGGTGGTCTTTCCTTCAATCCCCAAGCAGCTGTCGGGGAGATGCCACTTCTGGGTTGGGAAGGAAGTGGTGGGATGGTTATTTATAAACCCCCAATCCAGGGCAGGCAGCATGGCTCTCCCTCCCCCTCCCTTTTTTCTCCATGCTGGGCCTGAGATCCTGGAAAGAAGTTGTGGGGGGGTGTTTTATCTGTGCCCTTCATAAAAAATGTGCTGAGGGAGGGAACTGTGCCAGCTCCAAGAATCAGCAAAGGCAAAGGGGGCGAAAATTGGGCTCCATGTCCTTCTTCGTCTCAGTCTCCCCGACTCCCCAGCCAGGCCTGAGGAGAGGGGGGGGTGCAGTCGATCCATTGTTCCGGGGCCCATGGAGCTCAAAGGGGGCCCATGAAGGGGTATTTTTATTTTATTTTTACAAAATCACGTTTTTTAAAAAGAAAAACAATATTGGATATACATCACACTCTGTACTTTGTGTCTATAGAGCGAACCCACCCTGCAGCCTTGTTTGAGGTAAGGGAATCTGAAAGTCCCTGAACAGCTATTTCTATCATTTATGGCATTTTAATGTCATGTCATGACTTATTCATTTTAAGTTCGCCAGTTGAGCTTCAATTCATTTATGAATCTATTTTATATTTCCCTGAAATTTATGAATTTGAGGGGAGGAAACGTGGCCTCAAAAACCTGGAACTCAAAAAAGGCAAGGAGAAAACAGAAAAAACGTGTCTCTCCATGTGTAGGTGAGGGGGGGGGGCATATTAGTCTTCTTCCAGCCCTTAATAATCCTCTCGGTGGCCCTGTGCCACACACACACACACCCATCGCCGGTCCCGCAAAGAAATCTGCTTTTCCCCATCACGCCCCTCCCTTGCAAGCAGCGGCAGGCGGCCCGTTGGCAAAGGGGAGGGTGGCCAAGGTCCCGCCGGTGCATCTCCCCCCACACGCTCTTTTCCGCCCACGCAGATCGAGACAAAATCTTTATCTTTCCCCCCGTTCTTCCTCATCCTCTTCCTCCCCCCCGCCCCCCCCGCCAATCAATTGCTGCAGCAGCAGCATCTTCTCCGACTTCGCCAATATTTACCTCCCCGATCGCCCGGCTGTTGCTTCCCGCCGGGGGCCTTTTGCTGCTCGGCGCTCTTCTCCATCCTGGATCGTGGGGCGGGAGTGGGGGGACGGAGGGGAGGAAGAGGAAGGGGGCGGATGGGGGCCTGGCCTCGCTTGTCCCCCCCCCCCCCTCTCTCGGATCTCGTTGAGGCTTTTCCTTCCGCGATCCTCTGGCTTTCCGACCCGGGAGGCAGGCTGGATCCAAATCAGGGACGATCTTTTTCTCGGAAACGGGGGTGGGGAGGTTGGAGGAGGAGGAGGAAGATCTTCCCAAGAATTCAGAAAATCCCCCAGTCTCGCTCTTCCTCTTTTCTCATCGCGGGGCGGCTTGTGCGCAGAGGAAACTTGGTCGGAAGCGAGGCAGTGGGCGGGCGGCTAAGCACACAAAGCCGGGAATATTAGGGAGGAGACCCCCCCACAAACAAACCCCCCCACCCGAAATCTGGGAGAGAGAAAAATTCCTTTGTAGAGTTATTTATTTCTCCCCCTCCCTTTTCCCCCACCATCCAATATTGCTGGATCGGGAAGGAGGGGGTAGGAAAAGGGGTGGGGTCCTTAACCCAGGGGGCTGGAAGTAAAAAAAAGAGAGATTTTAAAAAAGAAAAAGAATTAAGGGGGGCACCCAGCATAAATCCAGCCCCGTTCAACTAAGCAGCTGATTCTGCAAAATGACCAGCGCGAGAATCTCAACTATTGTACATCCTCAGTCTGGCCTCTGAAGCTGGGCGATACCACCACGGAGGGGGAAAAGGGGGGGGAGACACCCTGGTTTCCCCACTTCCGCTTTGAATCACGGACCTTATTGACCTGCGCCCGCTTCCAACAGTGGACCCCGGGAAGAGAATGCCCCAAAGGAAGGAGAGGGGGGGGATCTTTCGGCCTCGCCACACGGCACACCCTTTCCCCCCCCCCGGGTCGCCGCCGCCGCCTCTTGGTCGCGCCCGGGGAGCGTGTTGAGACTGTTGGGAAAGTTCAGATTAGATTCCTCGCCCAGCAGCTGAACGGGTGACTCATTTCGCCGGGGGAGGGGGGGAAGAGGAGTGGGGTGAGGTGGGAGTGGGGGGTTTCCAAGGCTGGAGGAAGAAGGAGGCGATTTACAAGGATGGGGGGGGGGTGGGGGAAGCGAAGGGAAAGCATCTACGATTGAATGTATTATCCATCAGCCCCAATGCAGAAGGTCTCCCGGTCTCTGGAGCTACAGGTGGTCTGACGTTGGAAAGGGTTTTTAACGGACTCACAGAGTTGGAAGGGACCTTGTGGGTCATCTAATCCAACCTCACACCTAAGCAGGAGACCCTGCACCATTTCGGACAAATGGCAATCCAGGGGTGAAAGCCTCCAGTGATGAAGCTCCCACAACTTCTGAAGGCAACTTCTGTTCCATGGGTTGATTGTCCTCACTGTCAGAAAGTTCATCCTTATTTCTAGGTTGAATCTCTCTTTGATCACTTTCCATCCATTATTCCTTGTCTGGCCTTCAGGTGCCTTGGAAAATAGCTTGCCCCCCTCCTCTCTGTGGCAGCCCCTCAAATATTGGAAAACTGCTATCATGTCTCCCCTAGTCCTTCTCTTCACTAGACTAGCCATGCCCAGTTCCTCCAACCATTCATCGTATGTTTTAGTCTCCAGACCTTTGATCATTTTAGATAAATTCAGATTAACAGAGTTGGAAAGGATCTTGTGGATCATCTAGTCCAACCTTCTGCCCAAGCAGGAGACCCTACTCCATTTTTAACAAATGGCAGTCCAATCTCTTCTTGAAAGTCTCATGTGATGAAGCCCCCACAACTCCCAAAGGCAACTATTGGTTGATTGTTCTTGTCAGAAAGTTCCTCCTTATTTCTGGGTTGAATCTCTCCTTGATCAGTTTCCATCCATTATTCCTTCTCTGGCCTTCGGGTGCTTTGGGAAATAGCTTGGCCCTCTCCTCTCTGTGGCAGCCCTCAAATATTGGAACACTGCTCTCATGTTTCCCCTAGTCCTTCTCTTCACTAGACTAGCCATGCCCAGTTCCTGAAATAGTTCTTATGTTTTATTCTCCAGTCCCCTAATCATTCTGGTTGCTCTTCTCTGCACTTTTTCTAGTCCCAACATCCTTTTTTTATAGTGTGGTGACCAAAACTGGATACAGTACTCTAGGTGTGGCCTTACTAGGGCTTTAAGACTTTGGGAAAAAGCTTGACCCCCTCCTCTCTGTGGCAGCCCCTCAAGTATTGGAAAACTGCTATCATGTCTCCCCTGGTCCTTCTCTTCACTAGACTAGCCATGCCCAGTTCCTGCAACCGTTCTTCATATGTTTTAGTCTCCAGACCTTTGATCATCTTAGATAAACTCAGATTAACAGAGTTGGAAGGGACCTTGTAGGTCATCTTTTTATAGTGTTGTGACCAAAACTGGATGCAGTACTCTAGGTGTGGTCTTGCTAGGGCTTTATAGAGTGGTATGAGTATCTCACTTGATCTTGATATGTACCCCTCTGATACAGAGTCAGCGCTGTCCAAAGATGCCTTCATGGTCATGTGGCTGGCATGATTAAGCGCCAAAGGTGCACAGAATGCTGTTACCTTCCCACAAAAGGTAGTTCCTGTTTTTCTACTTGTATTTTTAACATGCTTTTGAACTGCTAGGTTGGCAGAATCTGGGACAAATAACCAGGAGCTCAGTCCATTTCGCGGCACTAGGGATTTGAACCGCCGAACTGCCGACCTTTCTGATAGACAAGCTCAGTGTCTTAGCCACTTTTAAATACAAATCGCAAAATCTTACTTAATACACTACTGAAAGAGAGTAGTCTCTTTCAGTACAATATTAAACATACAACAGTGCAACATTTATAGCCCTTGTATTGATATCTAGAAGAATGTACAATGGAGCCTTCATTTCTTTAGGATTTACATCTGGGTATAAACCCTTAACACTGTGTCCCAAGTTAAATTTCTGACTTCCAGTGCTTTCTGAAATAATATAGGTTTGTGATGAAGAGTGACTTTTTATCTGATTAATCACTTCCAGCATTTAATTCAATCCTCCCTTTCTTTCATTTTCCAAAATAAAAACCAAGCGCATGACAAAACAACAGACAGTTTTCCAAACCATTGCAAAGAGGTTACTCATTCTTCTTTTTTACGGACTTAAAAAGCTTCCATATTTATACTGAGAAGTACCATTTACCCACCATTGCCTAGTGAGTGAATGATATAATTGTGCCTTGATCGGCAAAGGTTCCTAAGCAAAAGAAACCTGACTGGGGATTATGGTCTTTGTTTATCCAATATCTCTAGAGACCCCAGAGGTTTGTGTATGATTTTAATTCAGTATTACAAAGGCCAAAGTTCACCCTATAAGTAAAAAGTGAGTCACGGCTGCTTCAAATCAGGTAGAATCTCACACCACAAAATCAGGTAGCATCTTTCCAGAGGAACAAATCTGATTCAAAGGCATAAACCTTTATGATCTATCAGACTCTGCTTGATTCTTCTATAGCTTCAATACTCTTTAGCAGCTGACTATCCTTGTCTGGGCTAAAAGCTAAGTAGGATTAGATTTGGTTGACAACTAGGACTATAAATTAGCCCAGTGTTTCTCATTCTGTACAACTTTTAAGATGTGTGAGCTTCAATTTCCAGAATTCTCCAGCCAGCCCTGGGCAAGATGTTGTTGTGGCTGGCCAGCGGGGCTGGCAGCAGATTCGGACAATGAGGAGGTTGGAGAAGAACATGGGCCACTCCTGGAGTCTGGAGAAGGCTCTGATGAGGGCTCTGCATCAGAGGCAGAAATGGGGCCAGGGCTGTCTGAAAGTTATCAGCTGCCTTTGGAGTCGGATATCAGTGGGGCAGAAGAACAGCTGGAGTCCATTCCCAGTGTGTGCATGCGCAGAGTTGCCAGATGAAGAAGGGAACAGCTAAGGAACAAGGGCCGACTCACTTGCAAACTGGCAGGGGAGGTAAGAGAATACCATCGCTGCTCTAGACCATTAGTAAATCAGATTGTTTTATATAAGTAGCATTAACACACTTTTAGTGTTTTGAACGCAACTCCTGTTCCTGGCTATTTGTGCCGGCAACCAGTATGTTAATGGTAAGAACCACTGGGGGTTATCCTTCAACCCACGTGGAAAACAAGTCTGGCATTTCAATTTATTCACTTCCTTTCCACATGCAAGATAATATTTTGATAATCTGCCTGCCCTGGAATTCAGTAACTAGACAGGAAGTTGTGCCCACAATGTCTATGGTGAAACACAGATGGGTATCTTTTGAAAATCTGAAAGCAGCGGAATATCCTATCAGGGTCAAAAGAAGGCTAGGAAATGGGATGTTTCCTGTATATTTTATGATTATCTATGACGATTTATATTTCATGCATCACAATGGAAACCGTTAGTAACCGAAAGGTGGGTATAAAAGACACCGAGGAGAAATGGATTATGCTGGAGGAGGTTAAGTCCTAAATCCAGCTCCAAGTGATTCTAAGGGGGAGCAAGGTTGCTAGCAGACACACCCAACAAAATTTCTGCAATAGGATTAAAAGTCCCCTGTCTCCAACCGAGGAGCTGGGGTGTGTGTGTGTGTGTGTGTCTCTGTGTGTAAGGTATTATCTGCAAAAGGCAAAGCCAAGAAAGGGAATTAAATACTAAATGTTAATTAGAAAAATGATGTTCTTAAAACTTAAATATAAAGAAGAGAAGAACAGAGTTGGAAGGAACCTTGGCAGTCATCTAGTCCAATCCCCTACTCAGGCAAAAAGCCCTATATTTCAGGCAAATTGTTATCCAACCTCTTCTTAAAAACTTCTAGTGTTGGAGCACCACAATTTCAGGAAACAAGTTGTTCCACTGATTAATTGTTCTAACTCTCAGGAAATTTCTCCTTAGTTCTAGGTTGCTTCTTGTCAGAGTTTGTTGTAACAATCACACCCAGAAAGGTAACTGATTCAGCAGGATTCATTAACTTATCTTTATATATAATATAAAACATGAAATAAGTTTACAATATCCAAACAGATTTTTCTAATGTGGTAGCAAATACAAGCAAAACACAAGCAGATGAGAGAACAGTTTCAGTTTCAGTT